GTATCATATAGCAGTGTAACGTCAACGATGTATTGATATAGCTACAGTATATCATATAGCAGCGTAACGTTAACAATGTATTGATACAGGTACAGTATATCATATTGCAGCGTAACGTCAATAATGTATTGATACATTTACAGTGTATCATTTAGCAGTGTAACGTCAACAATATATTGATATAGCTACAGTGTATCATATAGCAGTGTAACGTCAACAATGTATTGATATAGCTACAGTGTATCATATAGCAGCGTTACGTCAACAATGTATTGATACAGCTACAGTGTATCATATAACCGAGTAACGCCAACAATGTATTGATATAGCTTAAGTTTATGATATAGCAGCGTAACGTCAACAATGTATTGATACATTTACAGTGTATCATATAGCAGTGTAACGTCAACAATGTATTGATATAGCTACAGTGTATCATATAGCAGCGTTATGTCAACAATGTATTGATACAGCTACAGTGTATCATATAACCGAGTAACGCCAACAATGTATTGATACATTTACAGTGTATCATATAGCAGCGTTACGTCAACAAAGACAACATCCGTTGAAAATTATATTTGGGCCTAATTTTTATTATATTCGATTCACACTCCTGTTTCTTCATTAAGTTTAGTCATTTGTATTAAGAATTATAATTCGAAAAACTTCACAACTAAATGCAATGAGAAACATTTGATTTGTGGACTCCAATTCAATTTTGATTTGGTGTCAGGAACATAACACATGTTCCAGAGCTATATCTCTTTATTTCGTTGTGGCTTCTACATCTAAATGGTACTGACCAACTTCAACAATTTGAAGATAAAATGTCAGACGAGGAGTGAAACATGGAAAGAGATTGTTTTTAAAAGATACGAGATGATCTAATTTGTGTTTGAAAAGTGACGGTCGAGGGCTGATTTGAATAATTCCGTTGTGGGGCTCGAAATAATGTCAGGTGGGATTTTATTCCACTCGGGTATAGTTCGAGGGAAGAATTATGCCTTTCTGGTCTGGGTTTTTGAGTGGGGAATTTGATACGAAAACTGGTGGTTTGTTCGGGATTTTCTAACTGTAGGGATTAATCTGTCTGATTTTACGATAGCGACTTTCTGGTTTACAATGTTATGAAGCATTGTCAGACGAGCATCTCTACGTCTATCTGCTAAAAGGCGCAGCTTTAGGTGGTCCAACATTTCTGACACACTGGAGGTACGATGGTTGTACCTGTGCTTATTGGGAATCGGCATGGGTCATGATAGTTGAGACCACAATGTGTTCCATAATTTTGCTACAGATACAGTTCAGAGATATGGGCCTGTAGTTTTCTGGGTGAAATTTTGGACCCTTTTTATAAGCAGGTGATACATTTGCAGATTTCCAGTCTGAAGGCACTATGCCCGTTTCCAGAGACTAAATATTAGGGTTAAAATCGGGGCTATTTCTGTTGCAAGCTCTTTAAGTACTCTGGGTTTGTTGTAATTAGGGCCCGAGACCTTGTATGGATTTAGGCCTTGGAGCAGTTTTAAGACGCCCTTTTCATGTATAGAAACAGGTATGGCAGGGTATTTATTTTGAGTAGGCATGTTGCATCTAGTGCGAAACTGCTGGTCGGTAACAGGGGCGTTGCCAGGATATTTGAAAGAGGGGGCGTAGCATAAAATCTTTCGCCGAGCGGAGCGAGGCAAAAATAAAATGGACCTTTTTTTGTGTTAAAAAAACATAAAATAATTGTGAAATGCACTAATGTAACGGTTCCTGACTTGGAAAAAGGGGGGGGGGGGGCGTACGCCCATAACGCCCTCACCTGGACACGCCCCTGGGTAAAGATTTCAGGAGGGGTAAAAACAGATTGAATTTGTGCGTTTAGCACCTGGGCCTTGTCGGTAGGGTCATAAACAAGTTTACCGTCCTTTTTCAGAGGAGCTATGCCACTATGGTTTGATCTTTTGGATTTTATATATGACCAAAACTTTTTTCGCAGGAAAATTTTTCATTGGTTGTGTTTTCTGGGGTGATAATATTATCAATATGGCTCCAGTAAGATGTTCGGAGTTTTCTCTGTATATGATGTTTCAGGTTTTTATACTTATTTTTTATTTCGGTGTCTCCTAATTTTTTTGATCGTTTGTACAATATATTTCTTCTCCTGATAAGTTTCTTTATGTCAGGGGTAACCCAAGGTAGGCTGGGTTTTGTCTTAACTATCTTTTGGGGATATGTTCCTATCATGAGTTTAGACAATTCAATTTTGAAATAGTCCCATATTTTGTTTACGTCCCACTCGCTATTTTCTGTCATACAGTTGTACACGTTGATAAGCTCAGCTTTAATTGAATTCAGTTTGAGTTTTTATATACTGGGGTGGATCTTGGTTTTTGAATAATTTTTTGTGGGGTAAGGTTCAACTCTGCATAGACTATGTCGTGGTCAGAGAGACCAGGGATAATTTCTGTTCGAATTATTTGGTTTGGAAATTTGTAATGAGGAGATCAAGGATATTTTCATTTCTGGTGGGTTGATCGATTTTTTACATGATTTGTTTTGGGTTTGAGGACTTTATTTTTCCAGTCCTAGCCCGGGAGATTGAAGTCGCCGCCTATAATGAGGGCTACATTTTCAATTTTGGCGGCTTTTTTGATGGAATAGCTAAACAATCTCATACAGTTTTCGTCAGATGTTTTGGGATGATAGAAGGAGCAGATATAGAGTGTTTTACTCTCGATTACATTCACTTTGGCCCATATAGATTCACTCGCTGATGAGGTGGTCTTTTATAGCAATCAGTACACCACCACCATCTTTATCAGTGTCTGACTTTTTTTCTGTCATTTCGGTAGATCTTATAGCCCGAAGGGAATATTTCGGCTGAGTTTATGCTCGGGTTAAGCCAAGTTTCAGTCCCAATCACTATATCAGGCGTAGTCCTATCCAAGACATTTTCAAGAAGATGTTGTTTATTCCGAATCGACTGGAAATTGATGTTAACAATTCGCAGAGTTTTTTGTTTATGTCTTTTGTGTGGACCTGTGTTCTTTCTAACAGGGTCGAAAACTGGATTGGTTTGTGTTGGAGTTCACAATTACTGATGTTAGTATCTGTACCCAAATCACCAAGAAGAGACAGGGTGTCATAGGGGTTTGTTGTACTGATTCCAGTTAGGTCGAACAAAATTTGGCTGTAATTTTGGTGATTACAAACAATACAATGTCAGCTTACATCGCTAACATTCAGATCTTCAAATGTTTCTGTGTGTACGTTTTGACAGTTTATGTGGTACCACTGATTACATGTCTCGCACATGATATCCAAATGGTTCCAGTTAATAGTACTGTCACACGTACAACACATATACTTAGTACTGTTGTTTTTTGGGCCAGGATTGATTTCTACGTCATTTGAGTTTAGTATGACTAAGGCCAATAAGAAATACAGGGCTCTCCCTGACTTTAATTTTGGTATAGATTTCATGGGCTTAAACAATTTGCACAGCATATGGTCATAGCCAGGGTCATTTGATTTTTTGTCAGAGATGGTAAAGTCTGTAAACAGGTACAGGGGATGATGACACACATGATTTACTTTCGTTTCTATATGAAGGTAACACTTTGATGTTATTTCATGAGGCACAACACTATTCCAATCAATGGTTTTGGTCAAGCACTTGTTTTCTAAGTGCCAGTCTCGGAAAGAGACGTTGGACGAATTGATACAAGGGACTACATTGGTATTTGTGTGACACAACAGACCAAGCAATGACGCGATTACAAAGAATTTTACCAGACACATGATCATGCTACGGACGACTTGACTTTCGGTCGACTTGACTTGACGTATTGCAAGACTATTCGCCCAGCTCTTTCCCGTCGAAAACCCCCTACGGACGACTTGACTTACGGACGGTTTGACGTATTGCAAGACTATTCGCCCGTTCCTACCAAACACCACCCAATGACCAGTTTTCAGTCACTTACTGAAAATTTACCCCTACAGTAGATTTCACCCTATAATATCAACATATTATCCATATTATGAATAAATATGATTGAAAAATGTAGTTTGGTGATTAAATAATGACCTTAAACTATGAAAACACGAGCAAATTTTGTACTCGAGATCGAAGGCCTTCCTCTCTCTAGCGCATGCGCACTCCCCAAGACTGTATTTATCCTTAGTCATAGAGAGAATACTCCACCTTTGCAACATTGCTGTTTAATTGATTTATCTTTAAGACCTCTTGTAATGAAGTTTGATTCAGCGGTGAATGGCAGTTTTAAGTCTTATCTGACGTCACAGAAATACAACATGCAATTCACTGACTCTATTTGAAAAATGCCAAAGTACTATTATATGTTTCTTTAATTTATCAGTAAAACCTTACTTGAAAACAAAGTTTCAAACTATTTAATGCCCTGGAAATAACCCTGGATTTGAGCCCGCGTATGGATTCCGCTATACTAGGTTATTGGATTTTAGTAAAAAGCTCCTCCGAATGTTACTCCCCCGGAGCCGTGTAAATAACTTAAGTCGTGCACTTCAGCAATTGTTCAATATAATTGTATGATGTAAGTACAACGGACCATTTGACCTCTCAGAGTTTACATCATTTGTAAAAATGTATTATATATCTTCATTATTCATAATATGCATGAAGTACTCAATAAGACCCGTTCCAACATACTTCAAATGACGAAACACGTCCAGTCATAAGATCTTTAATACTTTAGGGGGTTTAGTTTTAACATTTTCTAGTTGAAAAAATTGAAGACAATTTATAACAATTTAAAAGACGTCCTTTTCAATATAACCAGTATACGTTTGAACACTATATAAACAAAATAACTAGGGAATTTCAAAGTGTTAACAAGACCATAATTCATACTCAAAATCGATAAAACTTTGGTAAAATATGAACAAATGAGAGATTTACATGCAGATCATTGAAAAATACTAAGATAGTAAGACCAGGTGTCCCGGAAGGGTAAACGTCGTTTGTTTTATCGCGACACCCACCCGTAGTTAGGGGAAGCGTGGATGTTACTATCAATGTAAACACCGTAGGTAGGGGAAGCGTGGATGTTTCTATAAATGTAAACACCGTATTTAGGGGAAGCGTGGATGTTACTATCAATGGAAACACCGTAGTTAGGGGAAGCGGGGATGTTACTATCAATGTAAACACCGTAGTTAGGGGAAGCGTGGATGTTTCTATCAATGTAAACCCCGTGGTTAGGGGAAGCGTGGATGTTACTATCAATGGAAACACCGTAGGTAGAGGAAGCGTGGATGTTACTATCAATGTAAACACCATAGTTAGGGGAAGCGTGGATGTTACTATCAATGTAAACACCGTAGGTAGGGGAAGCGTGGATGTTTCTATAAATGTAAACACCGTATTTAGGGGAAGCGTGGATGTTACTATCAATGGAAACACCGTAGTTAGGGGAAGCGTGGATGTTACTATCCATGTAAACACCGTAGGTAGGAGAAGCGTAGATGTTACTATCAATGTAAACACCGAAGGTAGGGGAAGCGTGGATGTTACTATCAGTGTAAACACCGTAGGAAGGGGAAGCGTGGATGTTACTATCAGTGTAAACACCGTAGGAAGGGGAAGCGTGGATGTTACTATCAAGGTAAACACCGGAGTTAGGGGAAGCGTGGATGTTTCTATCAATGTAAACCCCGTGGTTAGGGGAAGCGTGGATGTTTCTAGCAATGTAAACACCGTAGGTAGTGGAAGCGTGGATGTTACTATCAATGTAAGCACCGTAGTTAGGGGAAGCGTGGATGTTTCTATAAATGTAAACACCGTGGTTAGGGGAAGCGTGGATGTTACTATCCATGTAAACACCGTAGGTAGGAGAAGCGTGGATGTTACTATCAGTGTAAACACCGTAGGAAGGGGAAGCATGGATGTTACTTTCAATGTAAACACCGTAGGTAGGGGAAGCGTGGATGTTTCTATAAATTTAAACACCGTATTTAGGTGAAGCGTGGATGTTACTATCAATGGAAACACCGTAGGAAGAGGAAGCGTGGAGGTTACTATCAATGGAAACACCGTAGGTAGAGGAAGCGTGGATGTTACTATCAATGGAAACACCGTAGGAAGAGGAAGCGTGGAGGTTACTATCAATGGAAACACCGTAGTTAGGGGAAGCGTGGATGTTTCTAGCAATGTAAACACCGTAGGTAGTGGAAGCGTGGATGTTTCTATCAATGTAAACACCGTAGTTAGGGGAAGCGTGGATGTTTCTATCAATGTAAACACCGTGGTTAGGGGAAGCGTGGATGTTACTATCGATGTAAACACCGTAGTTAGGGGAAGCGTAGATGTTACTATCAATGTAAACACCGGAGATAGGGGAAGCGTATATGTTACTATCAATGTAAACATCGGAAGAAGGGGAAGCGTGGATGTTTCTATCAATGTAAACACCGTAGTTAGGGGAAGCGTAGATGTTACTATCAATGTAAACACCGTAGTTAGGGGAAGCGTGGATGTTTCTAGCAATGTAAACACCGTAGGTAGTGGAAGCGTGGATGTTTCTATCAATGTAAACCCCGTGGTTAGGGGAAGCGTGGATGTTTCTATAAATTTAAACACCGTATTTAGGTGAAGCGTGGATGTTACTATCAATGGAAACACCGTAGGTAGAGGAAGCGTGGATGTTACCATCAATGTAAACACCGTAGTTAGGGGAAGCGTGGATGTTACTATCAAGGTAAACACCGTAGGTAGGGGAAGCGCGAGTGTTACTATCAATGTAAACACCGTAGGAAGGGGAAGCATGGATGTTACTTTCAATGTAAACACCGTAGGTAGGGGAAGCGTGGATGTGTCTATCAATGTAAACATCGTAGTTAGGGGAAGCGTGGATGTTTCTATCAATGTAAACCCCGTGGTTAGGGGAAGCGTGGATGTTACTATCGATGTAAACACCGTAGTTAGGGGAAGCGTGGATGTTAATATCAATGTAAACACCGGAGGTAGGGGAAGCGTGGATGTTACTAGCAATGTAAACATCGTAGGTAGGGGAAGCTTGGATGTTACTATCAATGTAAACACCGAAGGTAGGGGAAGCGTGGATGTTACTAGCAATGTAAACACCGTAGGTAGGGGAAGCGCGAGTGTTACTATCAATGTAAACACCGTAGGAAGGGGAAGCATGGATGTTACTTTCAATGTAAACACCGTAGGTAGGGGAAGCGTGGTTGTTACTATCAATGTAAACATCGTAAGAAGGGGAAGCGTGGATGTTACTATCAATGTAAACACCGGAGTTAGGGGAAGCGTATATGTTACTATCAATGTAAACATCGTAAGAAGGGGAAGCGTGGATGTTTCTATCAATGTAAACACCGTAGGTAGGGGAAGCGCGAGTGTTACTATCGATGTAAACACCGTAGGAAGGGGAAGCGTGGATGTTACTATCAATGTAAACATCGTAGGTAGGGGAAGCATATATGTTACTATCAATGTAAACATCGTAGGAAGGGAAAGCGTGGATGTTACTATCAATGTAAACACCGTAGGTAGGGGAAGCGCGAGTGTTACTATCAATGTAAACACCGTAGGAAGGGGAAGCGTGGATGTTACTATCAGTGTAAACACCGTAGGAAGGGGAAGCGTGGATGTTACTTTCAATGTAAACACCGTAGGTAGGGGAAGCGTAGATGTTACTATGAATGTAAACATCGTAGGTAGAGGAAGCGTGGATGTTATTTTCAAGATAGGACACTGGCTTATAATTAATATAAATTAGTCACATAGTTAAAAACACGCTTTTCAAACTTTTCGCCAGATCGAAACATTGAACAGTTTTTCCCCCATAATTGAAGCTTATTATTTTTGTTTTCGTTTTTCTCGTTTTGTTAAATTTGTTGATAATCAGTCACTTGCGTCTAGGGAAGGTGATATTGAATTCAACTGCTTTTTATCATTATTTAAATAATATTGGCTGTTAACCCGTATATTTATTAGTAACATGTACAGATATTTACTAGGGGGAGAGTATGTTGATTCGTTGTAGGTACAGGACATTTTTGATTTGTAGTAAGAAAATAGGGAAAAATCGGTCTTATATAGGTTTTTCTCAGTGCGACCGCGTTCGTGGTGATACGATATATACAATTTTGGTCTCTTTACCGCCTTTGGCCCATGCCAACACGGTGCATCTTTGAAATTCCAGGGATTACTCTGACTTACATTCTCTGCACTCCTAGTATATGTAACGACAAAATCGAAGACACGCAGCAAGCTTTTTGATTGATTTCAGGTAAAAAAAAAATACCTGACTAATCGCATGGCTAATACATGTACTTAGCAGGTTACAGAGGAGCTGCACTCGACTTATAAACTGGTTGATTTTTACCGTTACACTGCCGCGCGATCTTTTAGATGTAGACCGGCTCATCCACAAGGCGTCGGTGCAGAACTTTAGATTTTGTCATGATATTTTCCAGGGATTCAGAGAACGTAAGAGAGCGTAACCTATGGAATTTCGAGGATGATTTGGTTTGACTGGAACTTTTCAGCGGTTTGGAGAACTGTGTGGCTGGAACAAGACTAGTCAAATGTGGATGATTATTACATATAGTGGGTAGAAGATGTTTCTCTCTAGGTTAAGGACTTGTTCAACGTCACGAAAAGAAGATATTTTCGTGTAGGTTGAGGATTTTTACACCGTTGTGAGTGGAAGATGTTTCCTTCTAGGTTGGGGATTTTTGCCGTCGTGGATAGAATAGATTTTCGTGTAGAATAAGGATTTTAACACCGTCGTGGGTTAACGATCTTTATTAGTCGTATCTACAGGATTTTACTACTCGTAGCTACAGGATTTTATTAGTCGTATCTACAGGATTTTACTACTCGTATCTACAGGATTTTACTACTCGTATCTACAGGATTTTGCTAGTCGTAGCTACAGGATTTTACTAGTCGTAGCTACTTGATTTTACTACTCGTATCTACAGGATTTTATTAGTCGTATCTACAGGATTTTGCTAGTCGTAGCTACAGGATTTAACTAGTCGTAGCTACTTGATTTTACTACTCGTATCTACAGGATTTTATTAGTCGTAGCTACAGGATTTTATTAGTCGTAGCTACAGGATTTTACAAGTCGTAGCTACAGGATTTTATTAGTCGTATCTACAGGATTTTATTAGTCGTATCTACAGAATTTTACTAGTCGTATTTACTTGATTTTACTACTCGTATCTTCAGGATTTTATTAGTCGTAGCTACAGGATTTTACTAGTCGTATTTACTTGTTTTTACTTCTCGTATCTACCGGATTTTACTACTCGTATCTACAGGATTTTATAAGTCGTAGCTACAGGATTTTATTAGTCGTATCTACAGGATTTTGCTAGTCGTATCTACAGGATTTTATTAGTCGTATCCAAAGGATTTTACTACTCTTATCTACAGGATTTTACTAGTCGTATCTACAGGATTTTACTAGTCGTAGCTACTGGTTTTATTAGTCGTAGCTACAGGATATTACTAGTCGTATCTACAAGATTTTATTAGTCGTATTTACTTGATTTTACTACTCGTATCTACAGGATTTTACTACTCGTATCTACAAGATTTTATTAGTCGTAGCTACAGGATTTTATTAGTCGTATCTACAGGATTTTATTAGTCGTATCTACAGGATTTTACTACTCGTATCTACAGGATTTTACTAGTCGTAGCTACTGGATTTTATTAGTCGTAGCTACAGGATTTTATTAGTCGTATCTACAGAATTTTACTACTCGTATCTACAGGATTTTATTAGTCGTAGCTACAGGATTTTACCAGTCGTATCTACAGGATTTTATTAGTTGTATCTACAGGATTTTACTACTCGTATCTACAGGATTTTACTAGTCGTATTTACTTGATTTTACTAGTCGTATCTACAGGATTTTATTAGTCGTAGCTACAGGATTTTTCTAGTGGAATTTACTTGATTTTACTACTCGTATCTACAGGATTTTATTAGTCGTAGCTACAGGATTTTATTAGTCGTAGCTACAGGATTTTACTAGTCGTATCTACAGGCTTTTATTAGTCGTATCTACAGAATTTTGCTAGTCGTATTTACTTGATTTTACTACTCGTATCTACAGGATTTTATTAGTCGTAGCTACAGGATTTTACTAGTCGTATCTACAGGATTGTACTAGTCGTAGCTACAGGATTTTATTAGTCGTATTTACTTGTTTTTACTTCTCGTATCTACCGGATTTTACTACTCGTATCTACAGGATTTTATTAGTCGTATCTACAGGATTTTATTAGTCGTAGCTACAGGATAATATTAGACGTATTTACTTGTTTTTACTTTCCGTATCTACCGGATTTTACTACTCGTATCTACAGGATTTTATTAGTCGTAGCTACAGGATTTTATTAGTCGTAGCAACAGAATTTTACTACTCGTATCTACAGGATTTTACTACTCGTATCTACAGGATTTTATTAGTCGTAGCTACAGGATAATACTAGTCGTATCTACAGGATTTTATAAGTCGTATCTACAGGATTTTATAAGTCGTATTTACTTGATTTTACTACTCGTATCTACAGGATTTTACTACTCGTCTCTACAGGATTTTATTATTCGTAGCTACAGGCTTTTATTAGTCGTAGCTACAGGATTTTTTCTAGTCGTATCTACAGGATTTTATTAGTCGTAGCTACAGGCTTTTATTAGTCGTAGCTACTGGATTTTATTAGTCGTAGCTACAGGATTTTACTAGTCGTATCTACAGGCTTTTATTTGTCGTAGCTACAGGATTTTACTAGTCCTTGCTACAGGATTTTACTAGTCGTATCTACAAGAAT